ATATTTAATGTATTCGTTTTAATGACATTATTTAATGAAATTAATTGTCGAAAGATTCATGGAGAACAAAATGTTTTTCGAGGTATATTTACAAATCCAATTTTCTATGGTATTTGGATTGTAACATTTGTTGTGCAAATACTTCTTGTTCAATTTGGTTCAGTTGCATTTTCATGTGTACCATTAACACTTGAACAATGGATGTGGTGTTTCTTCTTTGGTGCGACAGTTCTCCTATGGAATCAAGTATAGAAAAAAATGAATATGATTTTGAAAAAAAAAACAAAACGTTTGCTTTTTTTTCTAGTTAGTTAATTTGATCCCGGTGTCACGTCATATGCCAAAATGGGGTGCAGGTGAAGTTTATGATCAAACATCACCTTCTGATATAGGTCCAGATGGACAACAAAGATCAGGCACAAGTTTAACAAAAGGACAAATACTTTGGTTAAGAGGAATAACACGTCTTCAAACGCAGGTTTGTATAATAAAACAAGATAATTTACTGACGGTGTTGGTTTCGATTAGAAAAACTAATTGCTTTTTAATATTTTTAAAATCAAAAAAAAAACACACTCATAGATATTATCGTAGCTTTCTTCTTATGTCTTTCTCTCTCTATCTTAATCGTAATGACAGGTTCAAGTTGTTAAAACTTTCCAAGAACATATTGCCAAATCGCCGTCTTCCCAATGGTAATAAAGTGCATATGTGCTTTAATATTCAGTTCATTTTAAAACTATTCATAAAACATCCAGCATGTTCATCCATATCTTTTGAGGTTTGACCCACCTGTTTGGTTTTTTAAATATTATTATCATAGTGAATCCCCTTATCTGTGTTTCCCTTTTTGATAACATATTAATCATACTTGTTTGTTTGATGTTTTTTGATTTTATCAATGAGAAAAACATTTCTATATGATTTTTGAGATTTAAAAACCAAAAAACATTGCTTTTCATATTGTTTTTCAATGCTGCTACACGTCTTGGTCTTATTTGCTGCTTTATATATTTTTGTCCGTTGTTTTTCTTGAATCATTTAGTTCTATTTGTATGTTCTTGAATTGATATATGTATATGTATATGTACAAATATGTTGGAGAAGAAAATTTTTTTTTTTTTTTTTCAATATGTTTTTATTCGTTATTATAGCTTCGTGTGATAAAAGCATTTCAAGATTCAATCGATCGACAACCACCTGAATATGTAACATTAGATCGGCTACGAGCCGCTACTGTGCCAAAAGTCTCATCGTTTTATCACGATAATCGGCCTCTTACACGTCCTCATTCTCTTAATCCTATTATTACTATTAACGCAAACATCACTGATAATCATCAAACATCACCACCCATGGAAGATACCCGACTTTAGACAATTTACTATGAATGATACAATATGAGCAGCAAATGAACAAATAATAATTACATCGGCCGGTCCGTGCAAATATATATCTTCTAATCTATTTAAGTCTTTATCAATATTTATCCTCATCTCTTATTTGTTGCTCTTTTATTCTCACATTTTTGCGCGCATTTAGAGTCTGTATCTCTTTTTCTCTTTTTTTTGCAAACGTGTGATAAAGAATCTCTTTCTCTTTTTTCTCTTCTTTTGTCGATGTTACAGAATAATTTCTTTTTCTCATCTTATCCGTTCTCTACAAAATCAGTCAGTCACAGTCGAGCGGTGCTATACATTAAGTCGATGGCAATGATGAACGCAAACGGACACACAAAACAAAAAAACAATTATTAAAATGATAAAAATATATTCGATGAAATGTATCGAGAAAACAGAAAAATTTACCCCGAGTGATGACTGCCCGTTGCGTTCTTTATATTATTCCCTTATATACTTAGATTAGATAGATTTTCAATCTTCTTCTTTTTTTCTCTTCATTTTGTCTCTGTACTTTTTGTTTCTTTTTTGTGATGACTCTGATGATGAAGATCATGTCTGTAGCCGAATAATAAGAATATTATTAAAAAAAAATATTAGCTTTTTTTGTTAATTATAAATAATCTAACAAATTAAATGATAGATCTATAATTTGTATATATATATATGCTCAATACATAATTGCTGTTAAATTTGATTTGCTCAATTAAACAAAATATGCTTAATAATAATTTTCAACCAAAAAACTAACCAATATGTTCTTATTTCGAACTTTATTTTGATTCTATCTTATTTTTTATATTCATAGATCGCCGTAGTCGATGCTTTTTATCAACCGATAGAGTCTAATCAACCATTATTGACTATAAAACCAAAAGTGGCGACTTAGAAGATTTTCGAATATTAGTGAAAAATAGAGTTAAAGTGATCCAAATACTTATTTATTATCTGTTTTTTTTTTTCCAATGCCGTAGAATTTTTACTTTTCTTTCCTTATGCTAACAATGTAATAAAAACAAAAACAAACAAAATAATTGATTATTAATCATTTCAAGTATCTCTTCATATGAATGTCTGGAACAAGAAAAAACGTTTTAAATCGAAACTTTATCAGGAAAAAGATATGTCTTGTAGTATAAAAATATTTTAATTAATTTTATATTTATATACATCAATCAATCAAATATAGATATATCTATCATATATATATATAGCATTTTTTTAAGCAATATTAAATACAAGAATATGATTTCTTATCAATCAATGTCATGCTTATTGTTTTTTTTAATTGATAAAAACATTGATATGCATATGAAGGACTAATAATGGATAATTCGATGTGTGTCTTCTCTAAGAAAAACTTAAATATATGTATGTGGGTTTTAGAATAATTTGTTTTTTCTATCATATTTAAACGAATTAGTAATAAAGACTAAATTACATTTTGATGAATGTCATGATTTATTTTTGGTTTTTACCTACTATGATTTTTAATCGATTGGTAGCAAAAATTTATTGAGAAAACAATTAATCATAGCTATATTGTAAGATTATGCAATCTGAGTAGTATTCGGAGAACAGTATACTATGAAAGAGTTGATGTCTAATATATTTAGATAGATGATAGTAATAGAATGAAAAGTTTTCTTCTATGGTTACAATGTTTCAAGTATAATAAAGACTTTAATGCCACACATGCAGTTGAGTGTCTATGGAAAATATTCGAAATACATAAATGGTTAAGTTATAGATCGATACAATTATAAAACTATATTTAAATTTGAAAATTTATTTTATAAAAAAGACTGTATGTGAACTAAAAAGCAGAACGGAAGCTTTTCAGACGTCGAATCATTAAGTGTTTACCAACAACTAGGCACATTATAACTGTTGACTTTTTAAAATTTTGACTATGTGCATCAATACATAAGTTTGCTTTGATGTGATCTTCTAATTAGGTCAAATGATAACCGAAGATTATTTACAGAATACTTCACATGTATGATAACTCGTAGAATTTCTTTCATGAGTTCAACTTTAAAACCTACTTGATCAGTATGAAAATCAATTATGAGCTGGTGAAGATATTTGAATTTCTTCAATTGAAGAGGTGTTCTTTTTGACTCATCTCAAAGGGGAACAAACTGATTTCCATACTAGAAATCAAGAAATCGGTTCGTTTCTCCATTGACTTTATCTCTACAGAGAAATTACTTCTTAGGGAGTTTCAGCTTTTTTACAGTAGAAATAGCGAAATATTTCAACGAATTTAATTAATTTTCCTGGAGGATTCGATGGTATTGATAATGTAAGAAGGGTACATCTCAAATGAGAAATCATATGTGATACTTTTCAACATTGAAATTGATCAAAACGGATACAATATTAGCAGTTGATTTTCAAAATGTTAATAGTAATAAAGACAACACCTATATAATTGTAAATAAACCGTACATACTCGTAATCTTGGGTAGAAGTTAAAGTACATTTATTGTTAAAATATACTCACAACAAATATTAAGTATTATAAAAAGTTTTTGTGCAGTTGCGGTGTAACTTTTAAATAAAAATTCTCTCACTCGAACTGAACTATAGCTAGATTCTAGCGCCATCTGTATAGAATTTGTCAATACGCTAAATCAAAATGAACCAATCTGACAATAGCTTCTTAAAGTATAGTTTCATACCATTGTGTAAGCGTATCTTAAAATTAAATATTTTGTAGAAATTTGTCAAGAATGTCTATGCGAAAAGCTCTTGGCCAAGAGCCTTCTGGAACTATGTATGATGAACAAGAACGTCAAAAAACGCTTCGACTTAATCGTGAAGTACGTGAACAGCCACAAGAACCTCGTCTCGAATGGATATATACCGGTGATCGAACAAAAACTGAAGATTATTTACTTGGAAAAAAATATGATGCTGATGTACAATCAAATCCAGTACCGGAAGAAAATACAACAACATCAACAATTGATTTAGCTAATAAAATTCGTGAAGATCCTTTATATTTAATTAAAAAAAAAGAAATCGAACAAAAAAAGAAAATTTTAGACAATCCTGTTCGACTTAAACAACTTAAAGAACTTTTAGAACGTCAAGAATCAGCGTAAGTATATATAAAAAACTACATCTTCTGCAGATTTTCTTAATATTATAAACAGAAATTATGTAATATCTACCAATCATATATGAGTCAGAGGTTTAACGTATTTATCTTCAAGCTAAATGTTCCTCGATTGTTAGCAATTATCAGTTTCTTTCCAAGTTCTTCATATAAACAAATCTATGTCTGTTTATTCTCTTTTATCTATATAGGCAATCATCTTCACACAGAAAAAAGCGTCATTCTCGATCTCGATCACCACCACGTCATCATCATCATCACCATAAACGTGATAGTCCATCATCACAGCGTCAGCGACGTCGCTCTCCTTCGCCTCCTCGTCGTCGGCCATCCCCTCCACCTCGTCGGCAATCGCCTCCACCTCGTCGACAATCACCATCATCTCGTCGACAATCGCCTCCACCACGTCGGCAATCGCCACCATCTCGTCGAAAATCACCACCATCTCGTCGAGAACGTACTCCACCACGTTCAAACAATAAACGTCCTGAAAAATTATCCAAAGAAGAACGTGAACGTCGTATACGTGAAATGCTTGTTGATGGAACTATAAGAAATGAGCAACGTCAACACAATGTTCGTATATATAAAGAACGCGATGACGAAGAAGAAAAAGCTAATATTTTGATGAAAGAACGTGCAAAGAAAAAAAATGATTTATCATCATCTGATGATGAAGAACAAGATTTTATTCGACCAATGATGAGACAAGTTGTCGATGATCCAAGTTTAAAACGAAGAGATCTTAAACATCATCATCATAAACGACGATAAATATTTCTATGTTATGTTTATTTTTTGTTTTGTATGTCTAAAAATAGTTTCACTTTGTTTGTATAATAACAACAATATACCTAACAGAACTATCAGTAAATAAATATATCATGATTTATGATAGTTTCTTAATATACATTTTAATTCGAAAACAATAATCTTATATTTATATAAATATTTAAATAAGATCTAAAGTCAATATCTCTTGAAAATTTATCAGATTCTGTCGATTATCCAAGTATCAACATGACATTTGATGAATTAGTCAAGTATAAACCACATGCGCATTTTTTTCTTTGATAGTTAATCAATAAGTACTGTATAATATACAAAACTGAGTCATATGCATATACGTATGAATATATATTGTTCTTTTTCTTCATGTAAGTTATCCTTTTTTTCTCTCCATTCTTTTGCTGTGCAACTTGCGATATTCCTTCGTCGGACTGTAGCGAGTATAATATATATATATATATATATATAGTGAACGACAAGTAGAGACAACGAGTCACCTTTATTCATATATACATTGAGTAGAGAAAAGAAAAAAATACGGCCACTATTTTCTTTAACATTCTTTTTACGATCATCGACGACTAAATGACGAGCGAATATACACACAGGTAAATATCCACCAAAGACATATTTTGTAATATTGCTAGATGATACAATACTTCCCTTACAGTCACATTTCAATAGTGATTGCTCGTAATGATTTTAGTTTACTGTTTGGATTATCTTTTAAATGTAATGTTAGTATTTCAAGTGCTTTAAATATGATCGTTAGACTTTAAAGCATTACTAGTAATCAAGGTATACTCAGATATAACTGCAAGAGAAGTTGTAAAACAATCCGATACAAATATAAACACTTCGATACGATATATATATATCTAAATAATTCAATCATTTTACTTGAGTTATTTCGAGACCGTTCAATTATAATTAATGATTTTTTGATATATATTCTTATTTTTGAATATTTAACGATTAAGAAGTAATCAGTGAGTAGATAGTAAAGAATTACCAAAGAATACAATGTATATACGGTATAATTTACTTTAATGTATAGACTAATGTGAGTTCAATCATCGATAACAATAGAATATGTTTTATTCGTTTTTTATATGATAAATCATTAATTATCATATGTTCAGACATACATAGAACAGGGATAAAAGTAATCTCATCTTACAGTTCACAACTCCCTATTTACCATTTAGATTGTTATACATACTCAGATTGAACTAATTCTATTGTTATTAACCATTCTAATATTGACATCTTAGTTGAATTCATCCTAGAGGACACATCGATGAGTTATTAATTTCACCATTCATAAATACATCTAAACGACAAAAACACGATGAAGAAAAAAAGAAACTGCATAATTTTTTCTTCTTCTTATTATCATCATCATGTATTTAAATTTCATCCATACATATACTCTTATAGGCCATCTTAAACAATCATCAATTAATAATTCTTTTATTTCCTTTGCATTTTATATCACACGATGTGATATTTTTTTTCTCTATTGACATAAATGATGACTCACATATATATATATATATATATATTTTTATAGCGAAATCGAATTTCGAAATTGTATTTAATAACACTATCAGTTTTATTATAGAACTAAAGAGAGCTTCATGGCGGAATCTTCAACAGCTGATTATATATTTAAAATTGTTTTAACCGGTGATTCTGGCGTTGGAAAATCGAGTTTATTGTCACGTTTTACTCGTAATGAATTTTCACTTGAAAGTCGTTCAACAATTGGTGTAGAATTTTCAACAAAAGAAGTACAAGTTGATGGTAAAACAATTAAAGTTCAAATATGGGATACTGGTAAAATAAATTTCAAATTCTTTATACGAAAAAATACAAAGATATTGTTTTTTTAGCTGGCCAAGAACGTTTTATGGCAATTACAAAAGCATATTATCGTAATGCATTAGGCGCTCTCGTTGTTTTCGATATGCTTAAAGCATCAACATTTCAAAATCTTGATCAATGGTAAAAAAAAGACAATATATAGAGATTATTATACATTTTTTATTGAAAATAGGTACAATGAAGTACGAGCAAATGCTGGTATTGATTGTTCTGTTATTTTAGTTGGAAATAAAGTCGATCAACGACATATTCGTGCTGTTCTTTCTGAGGATGCAAAACGCTATGCTGATGAAAGAAATATTCAGTAAGTGATTTTCTTTTTTGAAATAAAGAGAATACATCAGTTTAATTTTTTGAAGATATATTGAAACATCAGCATTAGATGCAACAAATGTTGAACAAGCTTTTCGTAGTCTTATTGCTGATATTTATCGAAATTGGGCTGCACGAGTAGATTCCAGAGAAGATTCAAATATTGTTTCACGATCTATGGATTCAACAATAAAACCCGGTCTTTCATCATCGACGAATTCAACAAATAATAACACTACTAAATCATGTTGTGGTAGTTAATTCTTAATAATATACTCTTTTTTTTTTCTTTTATTCAATGTATAATATTCAATTCTTTTGTTTTGAATAAATATTAATGTAGAAAAAAGAATTCTTACTAATCATAATGTCTATTTTTTCCCCTGGAACGCAATATGTAATATTAGAAATGAATACCGAAAAATTAATAATATTGAATATGATATACATTCTTTATATAGATGGTTTAAATTATCGACCAAATAACCTATTAATTTTGGGAGTAGTTACTCATTTTGAAGAAATGATTTTACCTTTGACTTTTCATCCATAACCAAAACAAGTTGTTGCATAAAGTAGAACTAATTTTAAAGAAAACATAAATTATTTTATATATTCGTGTCCTTTTCATACTTCATCAATAAATATTATTTGTGACAAAATAATACACAGGAAAAAGACAACAAAATAATGAAGTATATGATTTGTACTTTTAAAATGTAATATAACAATATTGTATTCAAGTATTATCTAGGAACATAAGGCTTTTCCAATGTAGATATTTTTCATTTGTTCATATTGAATGAATATAATTTTAATATATGATAGTCAATTGTAGAAAATTGTGTTTTAATAATGATCACGAGCTATACATCTATATTTTTTTTGTTGATATTTGTCTAACATCTTGACGTAACGTCATCATTAAAATTGAAAATGTAACGCTCGGTTGCTTGATTATTTATTATATATAACCATATTCAATCATTCACTTCATACATTCATTTTTTATAAAATAGAAAGATGCCTGCAAACAACTATCCAACTGGTATGAGCAATGTAACTGCTCGACACTTTCAAAGAGTATCAAGAGATATTCAACAATATAATAATGCAAACAATCCAAGTACTGCACCGGCAGAACTAATGACAGCAAGCGATTTACTTCAATATCATCACGAATCAAACGCGGCTGTTATGGCTCCAAGGTCTCCATTGGATTCAATAAATGCGTTTATAGAACGTTTTATATATGATTTTTTATTTTAAACATTTTCGCACATATTTACATAATCGAACATATCTAACTTTACATATATACACATGGATGGATGCATAGGCTTGGATTACATTGAAAACGCTTCATAGAGATGACTTTTTCTTTTCTAAAAATAAATATTGATAACCAATGTACATTATTACTAATATTATAGAAATAAAACAATATAAAGTTTTACTAAAGCGTGGTTATTAAGAGCTGAATCCCATGATTGAGAATTTTAGATGTAAACAAATGAAACTCATTTGTAACATTTAAATTGAAGCTTGATGTATCGAAGATGTAGATGTAGTTTTAGAATGCAAGTAATATAGCATCATTCTATTCCTCATTCAAATTATTCGATATCGAAAACATTAATGATTTTTCAGAAATGTTCGATGTTTGAGATAGATCAGAAAACAGTCTGGACGCTCGACGCCATCATTTTGAAAATGACCTGAAGATGTGACTTGTTTTCTAAACATTTTCTTCATTTATTTGCACGTTAGTATCATACATTTACCTTTGACTGGTCTTAGGGCAGTTAATTGTATGAAATAAGTAGTAATAGGTTATCTAGATACAATAAATCAAGATGATTTGATATAAAAATTATTGCGTCATGTTATACAGTTTATCTTTTATTAAATAATTCTCAGTGGTCAGTAAATCTGTGCATTTTATAACAAGACAGACTTTATTGTATCTTTTTTTAAAATCGAAACAATTTTGTATAATTATAGTTGAACGTTTATCTGAGCAATACAATCAGTATTTTTGACAATAACTTATCAATCTTGATTGAAGAAAAAATAACATATGTATATAAATAACTATATGGGGTGGGCACATATATATATAATAACCTTTCGGCATGATATAATGAGAGGGGAACTAATACGTGAATCATATCATTTACTATTGTTATTAGTATCTATTTTGATAGTATAAAAACGATGTATATCGACCATTTTTTTCAATACTATTTTCCTGAAATAAATCCATTTCTATTTCTATTTGATGTTGATTTGAAACCAATCTTAGATTTATTAAACTGATTTCATATCTTGTGAGAACTAATTATTTATATTAAAAGATTCGATTAATTAAACATTAATAGTACAGAGAATTGTATCTGTTGTGGCAAACGAAAAACTTAGTTCTTTGAATTATCATGTTACACAAAATATACTGAATATCTCGATTGAAGAATGAATAAGATAAATCTCTCATTATATTACTACGCTATAATGATCGACGTTCTGCATTTTAATACATATTATTAGTCTTATAGAAGAAAAAGTCATATATATATATTGTTAAAATTATGAATAAATCTAAACAATATTTATTCAATTGAGCGCGTCAATTTCCTTTTATTTTACGTTTATCGTTTATGTTTTCATCTCTCTATCTTTCTGTTATGGATTGATTATATACAATCTATATGACTGATAATGTCTCGAATTGAAGGTGTATCACCACCCATTGTTACTCAACAATTATCAGATAAAATTGTACGTGCTTCACGTACAATAACATCCACAAATGAAGAACCTCAAGTACCTTTAGTACTTATTAATCGTTATCGTGTAACAACTATGATTGGTTCAGGTTCATTTGGACATATCTTTGAAGCAAATGATATTCATACACATGAACAAGTTGCTGTTAAATTTGAATCACATTCTCTTCAATATCCACAATTAGCATATGAAGCACGAGTTTTAAAACTTATTTCTGGAATTGGTATTCCAAAAATATTTTGGTTTGTATATATATAATTAAGAAAATTTT